TGTACTAATTGATATTTAAAAGCTCTGCCACGGGTGGTTTATGTTCGAAAACGTTTAAGTCAAAGACTTTGCAGCTTTTTTTAAGCGACTGTAAAAAAATGCTCTACAGTTTGTTGACTGCATATACATATGTTTTAAAGAGTGTGATGCTCAAATAATAGACGAATAGGAAGCGCCTTATATTAATCATTCACGGTTTATATTTGTCACTAACAGTGATTTAACCGATCACAATCACTTCCGTGAATTGTCATTACTTTTCACAAGAATTTCTTACATTGTAGACAATATACTATTTTCTATACGTACAATTCGAGTGCTTATTAATTTCAGTGCATATTTTTTACATAAATTTTCAATAAATCTCAATAGCCAAGTTGAAGCTGAGCCAAAATGTTTCGGTGAGTCAGTGGCTTAAGTGGAACCGTTTTCAACAAATACGTTTATTGACAACAAAATACAAGCGTAACATCAGTATGGTGAATCTGCGAAGCATCATCAAATCTCAATTGATTCATCATTCGCAGCAAGTATACGAGTAGATACAGGTGCGCGTCAGCTGTTCGGGTAGATTGTTGTTGTCGCTGACTGTTTTTTGTTTATTTACAAAAATAATGCAGCAGAAGAGCAGATTTACTGAATAAACCAACAATAAAAATTCATTAATAACATATACTATGTATAGGTATAGTAATAGTATGAATGAAATTTAGCATGATTTTGTGTATAATTTATTTATCATTTCCGGTGCGCGGGCGTATATAACGCCAAAGGCAATCAAATTGACGAGCGCTACTGGCACGTTTCGTGATTAATTGTTGATTATCTGGTAATTGTGTTTATGTGCGATTTGATTTATTTATTTAAAATTTTATTTCAGTTGTTCTTGCTTTTGATTTGTTAGCGCAAAACTGGGAAATGTTTGGCGTAAGTCAAAAGTATCGTCAGTTCAGTAGGCATCAAAGAAACTAGAAAAAGTTAAATAACTAATTAATTAAATTTTCATTATTTTCAATCTCTCGTGAATATAAAATGTTCACAAATTCTGTTGCTTAAAAGATTTTCTTCACAGATTCTAGGCTTAGGTGACCATATTTGTCCCGGCAAAATTCGGAACGGTTTTTTAGTCATACATTTTTTCTATACTATAATTCACTGAAAATCGTGACGTATAATAAGTGGGAGAGCAACACAATTTTTATTTTTTTTGTTATTTCAAAGCCCGGGACTCTTAACTCGGACTCCGGACTGCCCCGGCCAAATCGTGACCAATGGTCAGCTAACTCTGGCCCTTATACTCACATTTGCTCTTAGATTTGATCGACTGCCTTCGCTAAATTATTAGAACACATAACGGCATTTGTAGATAACGTTATTTCGGTAATTTTTTAAACAGAATATCTGCATGTATACACTTTTAATTTAATATTTTATCTAAAATTCTTAAACAAATCAGACATTATAAGTTGCACACGCCGTTTTTAATACCGAGTTAAAGCGCATGAAACGAATTTATTTGGCCACTTTGAAACAAGTTATGTGAAATAGCGCTAAAGTTAAACCATACAAATTTACAGCAGTAAAGACTGTATGAACGCCACTTACCCTGAAGGAAAAACTTTCACAATAAACATTTTGTGCATACCCTCTTCTTATTGAAGTACAGAGTTTCATTACTATCTCTATTAATTTCCTTCTTAAAAAAAAATAATATGTTCAAGCAAAATTTTATTCTAAAAGTTGTGCTTAAATAGAGTGGTTATCAACCACAGCAAACTATTTTCTTGGGTGACTTAATTATTTCCAAGCTTTTGAATCTCACACAGAAATTCTCTCCATAAAATCTAAAGAGTAGTATTAAAATAACCAAAATATATAAATTTATATTTATGGATTTCTCGCTTTTTGTCGACATAACAACTAATAATCACATACGCATACAAATCGTTTTTATTGGAACTGCTCTTTACAACTTCTTATTCCAGTTTCACCAAGTTGAATTAATAGATTAACTTAGGTATTAGGCGAATTCAGGAACCGATAGGTTATGTAGCGTCTTGAAGCTATCACAAATGTGCTAAGACGATGGTCTTCGACTCCAGCTAGCTCACTTGAATAATATGAGAAGCAAAGGTCGTGAATTTAGGATACTGAAGATGGAGATGCCAAGATAAACTAAGTTAAGTTTTTTTATATAATGTTATAGCGGACAAGTCTCTGAATTTCATTGTGTTCTATTAAATTTTTGGTGCATTTTTCGGGGAGATCTATAATATATAGCTATATATATATACTTTTTTATTTTTTGTTAATTTTCCTAATTTAACTTTTCGATTAATTAACGACTTGCCCAAGCAATCGGCACATTTAAATGGACCTGGAAGTAATTCTTCTTCTTCCTAAAGTAAAAATATTCGCCGTGCAATCGTGATAGATATTATATATTCTGGTTAATAGTGGTTTTTATAGCAGATAACATATTACACTACCCAACAAAGCTTAAGAAAAAATTTGCGACTGATGCGCTGAGAGGTCTATGGGGGTATTTGAGATGTTCTGATTACGAATTTGAGTTAAAAAATTTTCCAACACGCATAGCTACACCCCAAAAAGTCCTACGTGTTAGAAAATCTTTACTATCAAAATAGCAAAATAGCCTCTAGCATCACAGTCGCAAAATGACACTAGTTCATTATTGTTTACATTTTTTAGTAAGGAGGTAAAATTTCCTATTGTCAAAATATCAAGTCCTAGAGGCACTCATTTTCAGTTTGATTATAGAGGTATACATAAATAAAAACATTTCCATATATACAAGTATGTTAAAACATTGCCTACGAAGTGGTCTGCATTTTAACTTGAGCGCGCTTTGTACCGAACAGGCAAGCAGGTTTCAATCCAGTCGTACTTAACGTAACAACAACAAAATATGCTATTTTGCTGGCTCGCGCCTGGCTAGCCGCATGTATCGATTTCATTCAAAAATCGCTTACACCCTTCTTCCGCCATACTCCTTAAGCGCCATTGGGGACCGTCGCAATTGCTTGTTCACTTGAAGATCAATTAATTTCGCTAAAATGCGCTATTAATTTGTGTGCTGTTGTAGTACGCTGAGCAGCGCTGTGTTGTTGTACCATAGAGTTGTGGAAGTTGTTGTTCTGTGGCTTTGTTGCACAATATGCGCCAATTGAATTTATAGGCATGTCTTTGTTGTTTACTAGTTAAGTGCAGGCTGATGGCTTAGATGAGTTAGCGCGGCCAACAACTCTGTTCCGCGTTGGCGCTATAATTCAACAGATATGCAAATTGCCTGTCAAAGTGATTAAATGACCGCCCTCTCTTGAAGTAATGCGCCTTTTTTCAACAGGTTTCCTGAAAGTTATTTTTCTGCTTCTTTTGTAGTATTAGTGATTGAACTTGTAAGCCAATTGGTTATTGACTTTTGTTTACTAGGTAAGTGAACTGATACTCTGGATTACATGTCTATGCATGAGGGCATTTTTTTTTTTGAGTTATTACAAAAATGTATGGATTAATTCCGAAATTTTAAAATGCAAAGATCAATGGTTAACCTCACTTAGAACTTCCTTTATCAATCAAACGAACTGATTTAGTGAACATTCGTGATACCTGACGGATTCCGAGTGTTATATCTATAAACAGCGGAGCTTCAGAAGTTATGTGTGCAAAGAAACTCATCTAGAAGAAAGGTTCAGTGATTCCGTCTGTAAAGTACAAGGATAGCACCGCTTTCGCGCAATCAATAAACTTCCCTACAGTTCCTTGGTAAGCTGCTAATTAGTTGGCGGTTGCAGCTGCACCCTTCTGAGTAGGAAGACAACCCTTCTCCGCTTACATTGCTTTCGCTGGATCGTTCACCTTAAAAATAGGCCTTTCTTTGGCAGACGTAGTCCTAGCACCAACACTTTTGACCGCCTATTCAGGTTGTTCCTCGGCAAGGGTCGCATGACACCTTGATCCAGCCTTTTCTGAAAGTTACTCAATACAAATGGCTAATTTTATTAATCTTTATTCCATTTTATACGGATATTAATCGTTTCTCAATTCGCACAAAAGACTATCAGAAAATTAAAGGTCAGTAAAACAGTCAAATATCTACTTATGTTCCTCAAAATACTAATTAACCCGTTTCGAAAGGTTACAATATAGCAGCAAATGAAGCCCACACGCAAGTTATGATTTTATCACGTCCATCATTGGCGCCGACAAATAAAACGAAGAGTTTATCTATAACCCACGCAAATATCCACGTGCGGAAAACTGGCAGCCTCAGCGGAGCAATAAAAAATCGAATCAAAGAAATCGTTTGGAAATTTCTTCATAAAATAATTTATGTCGTTTGTGCTTGTGTAAGAGTGGTCAGACGGCACGCGTGTCCATTTAATTAATTATTTAAGAAAATGTTAAAGACTTAATTAGAGAGGTAAACAGTGGACGTAGAAACTTGCAGCGCACAGCAGGCAAACACACGCAAAAGCGCGACGGGAATGGAGCGCTTAAGTGCACCGGAAATGTTGGATCATTAAGAATTGTAACAAACTCGTATATATGCGCACATTTGCCGCACAAATATTTATTTATTAATACATAATTTAACAAGCGAGACTTTGTTGCTTTTCGTGACCGATAAGAGAGTAAGACCACATTAAGCATAAGTCGGACCAAATACGGAAATTGAAGTTAACTGTAAGTTTTGGTGGCTGACAACTAGAAAATCTCTATACTAGAAAATTTGTTATAAAGTGGTTTGAGGGACTCAATAAGTTCACCACGGATTATTCTCCCAAAATAGGTCGTTTAGCCAAAAATAGTAAATGAAATCTGAAGAAAACAAAGTTTAACGTGGATTAAAGTCAAAAAGGTAATCGGTGCAATTTTTTATATGATCGGTTTCTTTCATGACCTATTTCCCTCCGAATAATTGAACCTATTTTTGAGGAGTTTACATATTATATTGAAGAAATAGTATAGTACAACCATTTTAAATTAGATATTTCTTATATTGGTTGCTAAGGCTTTGTTTCTTTTATGGCAGTTTACAATCAGAAATCGCTATCTGAAATCCAACTTGTCAGAGAAACAGGAGACTTATACCCATTTTAGCAAAAGTGCAGGTAGAAGCTACTAGCACGCACCAAACTTTTTATACCTCTGTGATCGGAGATTTACAACATCTCATCAGTGGTTTATTGATATCTTGGCTGTTAGAGAACTTCTAGACCATCTTTCAACTTGCTTAATTTTAAGAATACCACGTATGTATATGTTCGGCAAAAATTACGAAAATACAAATATTCAACTAATAGTTTCACTGTTTCAATTTTAAAATCTCAATAAACGTATTTTTGTTTGCTTAAATAATTCATTTGCATATTTATTTCGCCGTTTAGAATGGCACTTACATAAAAAATTAACATTGAAAGCATTTAATTATTGATATTGCTCGACTTTTTACTACATACATACATACATCAATTTATATTGTGCACTCGTGCTAGAGTACTTGGTTAAACATTTAAATTGCTTATTCGATATAAAATATAATAATTAGTAATAAAAATATACATAGAAGGCACTTAAATACTATAGTTCAGTGCGTATATACTCGTATAATAATCTTTACGATTCATTACTCGCTGTCCGCTATGACTAAGCTCTGCTCTCTTGTCAAAAAATGTTTATGAGAGTAAAACAACAAAGTTCAAAGAGTGTGTAGAAATCTTCCTAAAGTAGATACCTATTAATTTTCTACTTGTTTTATGCCAGTCTATTGGATTTATGCCAGTCTATTTAATTTATACAAGTTGTTTATTCGTTTCGCCATTCACGAAGATTTGACGTATACTTATAGAAAACAGCTAATGTATAGTAACAAAATAATATGTATGTGCGGTAGCTTGAAGCGGTTTTATTTTAAACGAAATCGCCTTCGTTTGCCCTTTTGTTAAAAAAAATGTACTGAGTGAGCAACCACAAAAAATTGAAGTGGAATTCAATACAAAAGTGTATGTGCGTGAATGAAAAATTATGCCAGCTGTTTGTTGATCATCCACTGCTGACCGCTAATTTTCCAGTATTTTAATTTTTAATATATTTTATTTGTATTACTGCTTCAGTTTTTGTTTCTTTTTATTCAGGTGCGATATACCCTACTGTTATAAGCTACTATAAGTCTTATAAATGCTAATTACTTTCGGATGGTTCTTAAAAAGGACCGTCATAATATATTTTGTTATTGTGAACGCATAATACAATGTTACCACATTTATAAATCTCGCATTATTTTTTATATAGTTTTTTTTATACTTTTTAGATAATTTTTTTTGTTGTTAAGTCGAAAACTTTATTAAGCGACTTAAACGTCATATTTATAATAATTTTTTTTTGCTCTTCTTTGCGTAGTTTACATAAATAATGACAACCCTAACGTAACCACATATACAAACATAAATTAAATATTAATATAACTATGCTGAGCTGCCGATTTGCCGAGTTACACGAGTATTGCACAACGGGTCGTAGCCTATGACTTAACTAATTTTTGGTATTTTGCCTTTGGTTCTACAACTTTTTCTTGAAAGAAGTGTGATATAAATATTTTTTTTTATTACAATCTACATTAAATAAATGTTTGCTTAAAGTCTATCTTACTACACCAATGTTATAAGTAATTGAATATACTAATTTGAGCTCGCAACATAACGGGTATTGAAATACTTTCGTCGACTTAACCTAAGTGTTATGAGTATTGCGTTGAGCGATATGTTTTACCTGCAATGCTAATATTTTAATTTAATTATGTATATACAATCTATAAATTATGCCGGCTTATTGGCTTATTTATAATGATAGCGTAGGGACTCAGCATCCGACTCGTCGTCACTTGACGAGGGCGGCGTTTCCAGATTCGCCACCGCCACGTCTAAATAATCTTCATTGGCCAAGAGCAGTTTATCGAGGTTCTCGACAATCTCAGCAAAAGTTGGACGTGCGCTTGCATCGAAGTGCCAACACTGTCGCATAAGCATGTAAATATTCAGCGAGCATTTTGGTGGCTTTTCCATACGTTGACCGGACATCAGATAGCTGTAGAGCTCCTCCGCTGACATGATGGTTGGGTATGGCTGTGCGCCGAAGGTCATTATTTCCCAAAGTAATATGCCATATGACCAGACGTCACTCTGTGAATCGTAGAATTTATCTTGCAGCGATTCGGGCGCCATCCATTTGATTGGTAAACGACCGTTGGTATTCTTACGATAGTAGTCCGTGTCCTGTATGTCGCGCGCCAAACCGAAATCCGCTATCTTCATGACATAATCATCGCTTACGAGCACATTGCGTGCAGCCAGATCGCGATGTATACAGCGACGTGATGCCAAGTATTCCATGCCGCGCGCAATCTGAAAAGCAAACGAAATGAGATGCTTCTCGGTGAGATGGTGCTTCGGTAACGGTAGCTGATGCTGCTGATCGCCATAATCTTTGAGCGTGCCGGCAGCAAGTGGTCGATTTTTGTTGAGAAAGTCTTTTAGATTGCCATGTGGCGCGAACTCGACAATCACATAGAGCGGGCCCGATTGACTGCAACAACCAAGTAGGTTAATTATGTTGATGTGCTTGCCGATGATCTTCATGACCTCCATTTCACGTACTAAGCTGGCAATATCATCATCGGTATGGCCTTCCTTCACCATCTTCACGGCGACAATTGAATTATTAACCTCGGCCATGACGACACGTCCGAAAGCACCCTCACCAAGTGTCGCGCCCAATATCAGCTGTGAACGTGGTATTTCCCAATTCGAATCCAATGGAAACTCGTATTCGTTAAATGGCGCCGGTTCTGAGTTGGAGCTTTGCAGTACAGTTGTGCGCTGCTTCTCAATTTTCACCACTGGCATTATCATAGTGTCCATCGAGCCGCTGGAGTCCCCACTTGGTGGCTTATATATGATCACCTTCTTCGTCCACTGATGCACCGTTTCGATACGTTGTTTGAGCAGCTTTTCGTGCTTTACTTTACGCAGCACATACACGAAGAAGATTATGCAAACCAATGCAAGCAGCACCATGACAGCCACAATACCCCATATCTCATAGCCGTGCATAGATTTCGCTATGGCGCGTACATTGGGATCTTGAATGCGCAGATAAGCGCTGCTATGCGACTGACCGAGTCCGTTCATTTCGACGCAGGTATACCAGCCTTCATTTTCTGGCGTCACATTGGTGAAATTTAAAATATCTACGTCTTCCACATTCTTCAGGAATGTAGTATTCGTCGAGCAGGCTGTTTTGTTGCATGGCGTGAATGTCCAGGTTTTTTTGCTATGCAAATCTGATAAATAGACACATTCCATGTGGCCGCTCGCATTTAGCGGCAATGTTAGATTCATAGGCGCTTTCAATATAATTGGTTTGTGGTTAACACGATCACTAATGATCAATTTCGTTGCGTGCTCAATGCAACCGAGATAGTTGCATACGCGGCATTTGTAGATGCCTGAGTCTTCAGGCACCAGATCTTCCATATGTATACCCCATTTCACCTTGCGCACACGTCCCATATGCCGTAAGATTTTTGTATCGTTGCGCGTCCATGTTACGGTCGGCTCTGGTCGGCCAATTGCCGGGCACGATAGTTGTATATAACTACCGGAAGGTTTGGAGTGTATGTTCGGCAGATATTTTGAATTCTTGAAACGTGGCTCGAAATCAGTTGGTGATTTCGTTTCGCTGCCATCCGTGATCGTGGCATTGGAATTATTCTTAAGCGTACCGTTTGTCTCATCGCCGCCCACGTTATCGATGTCGCCATTTTCTGCTGCCGTTTCGGTGCCAAACTCTTGCTCGCTACGCTTTTGCACCTCGAATACCGCATCGTCGTAATCGTTGAGCTCTTGCGAAGTGGGCTTTCTGGCCAACACCGTATGCGGTGTGTTGAATATGCAAAATAGCAAAATGCTGAGGCAGATAATTTTGAGTACTTCCGAAACTGCGCCCATTGCTGCTGTCGTTGTAAGTCCGACTGTTTCTGCGTGGCTACTGATTGTGGCATTGCGTCTACACGTTGTCGTGGCAACTCCACTCTGGCGTGGATATCTATTTTTGTAACTTATGCGACTATGCTGTGGTTTATGACTCGTTGTCGTTTCGGCAGCGTCTATGACTGTGGCAGCCATATTTTTGCTCCAGCAGCGTCTCGAGTGCCTTTGCCTGCCAGTTGCTATAGTTGTTGTTGCAGTTGGTGCGACGTTCGCAGCTATGTCGCGTGTTGCATCCATTTTTAGTTGCACCCGCCTGTTTATTTTTGTAAATACCTCGCAAGGGGTGCACGTTGACACATGTGCGGTGTATATGGTTTTGTCATGCGGATGCTGTGAGCACTGTGCGTTGTTGTTGTGCTGGTTTCGGCTTCTTGATTCACCGGAAATCCACTTTAGTTTCTTTTAATTTGAGACTCTCTATTTTTCTACTTTTAATTTATTGCTGCTGCTTTAGCGCTTATCGCTGTGTTGTTGTTGTTCCTAGTTATTTTACCAGTTGTCACAGTGGTTGTTGTTTTCTATGCATTTGCACGCACTTCTGTAGATCGTGTGCAACATGTGTTTTTACCGTTTATCATTCAACGTTTGATGTTTGATCACTTTGCGTGGCTGCGTTGATCCCCAGCGTGATCTGTTGCGACAATCACCTTTTGAGCGGAAATCTCGAAATGTAAATGTTGAATTGTTGTTGGTATTTTTGATTACACTTTGGTTTGCGGTTGCGTCGTGCTTCAATCGCTGTTGAAGGATTTATTTACATTGGAGCCTTCTCCCTTATCTGCGGTAATGTAGTTGTCAAATTCTTTGATGATAGATTTGTTGGTTCTTCTCAAAGGTTTCTGTAATAATAGATGGAAGAGGAAATGCATTATGTTATAAAATGGCGCAATTAAAGCATATTGTTTTGAATCTCAGGAAATTAATTGAGTGTATGTCTGATTGACTTGTTAAATCCATTTCCGATTGACATTACGAATTTGAAAGCAATTTTTTTTTATTTCAAAAACCCTTTCTGCCCTGCGCAGATATAAGTAGCTTTATGGGTCTGATTGATATCTATATGGGTTATGATTGATAATGCTATATATATAGAGAAATATCACTGTCCTAACCAACACCTTTCATATACATTATTATCTGTGATGGACAACGGGCTTAGTATCAGTAACTTACTGAGTGCCGCTGATCATAAATCTTTTTATAGCCGTGAAGCTCTGTAGTATATAGCCAACCTACTGAATTTACTTCGAAACTGCCTTTTCTATGACCTTACATCTAGTTTATGACCATCAAAACTAGTATCGCTGACAAGTGTTGCACTGGTGGTACCTAATAGATAGGAATCTTAAATCTTTTTTTTTTGACTTTATTTGAATTGAGAATATAAATTTTCCTTTATTGCCAATGTAATGATTCAATTAAGCTCACTAAATTTCTGATTAAATCAAATACAAAACAATTTTCAAATAGGTGCACTAAAAATTTATCGAAAATTACGTTTTATCAATTTAAAAGAAGGCAGCGTCAACGCAAGCTAAAATAAAGGAAGGGGGGACTCAGTTGTTCGGTTTTATTGCAATTTAACGCAATTACTACTGCTATATAGCTATGTGTGCGTGTATAAACATACCAACCAAAGAGATTTGTGCGAATTCTGTCTAAGCGAGCAATATGTGCATGTAGATTGTGCTTAGTTTGTTCAAAGCAAAACCATAAATGAGGCAACAAAATTGAATGGACAGAGAAATGCAGTATGAATAAATAAATATATTTGAATGTGTGAATGTACGCAGTTTATAGCATACAAAAATTTAGACATTTTTGGTAGAACCTAAAAATTCAGGCATACAAATTTTTTTATTCAGTCAGTTTCATATTGAACCACGCTTCAATTTTTACTATGAAAAAAATTCTTCTCATAAAAGTGTTTCAGTCGCTTGAAGGTAGCTTTTTTGGAGGAGTACGCGGCATTTGTCGAATATTATCATGACGTACACCACAAAAAGAAGAAGAAGCTCGGTCAAGACTCAACGAAAGTTATAAAGAAAACAAACTGGGTGTCGGTTTGGATTCTTGACTGAGAGTAATATATGATTTACACAACCATAATAAACCCGATTTCTTCAACAATATATGACAATGAATGAAGCACTTCAACATTTCCCAGTGAAAGTGGAGTGAAGTAGACTGAATGCAATGAACTGAATATAAAGCTTATAGTAAGCAAGCTAAGGAATCGTTGCTATATTTTGAGTTGCAATAGAGAAAATCAACCATTATGAAAGCAGCGTTTAAATATTCATATAAATAGTATAAGGCGCCATTGGATCTTCTGAAGAATGATGAGTCGGGTCATAAATCAATATAATATAATATAAGTAATTTAAGCTTCGCAGTCCACCGTTTACGATACTATATCTTCAGTAACTTTTTTGACCTCAAGAGCATATTCTTAAACACCAAGGCAGAGAGCCAATACCAATTGTTGCATAAATTAATCAAGTTTTGCCAACAATAAAAGTAAACTTTTAAAACGATGCATTTCAAGCAGCTAGTATGACGTAGTTTTAATAAAAAATTAGAATTTCTGTTATGAGCTACGGTAAACTTTAGACACTTCCGGCGGAAAAGCGCATTTATAAAGTAAGGAAGTGCAAACATACACAAGAAACGTGAATAAATAAACTTACGTGAGATTTTTCATTTCTTCAGAAAAAAGTATACTAGCACTAACAATATTCCCTGAAAATGATGTGTGTATGTGTGTGTGTGATATTATAGCACTATATTTATTATATATAATGACTACATCGAGCTCACGTTCAAAATTATTTGCCACCTACTTATATCTAGTATATTTATGGAGAAATTAATATAATTGACTGTTTACAATATTGCCTGTTCAACCTTCGTACCGTTAGATATATACATATAACCGAATTCTTCTGTTTTTATGGTTACACGGTTTTGATTATTTAAATGGAACTAACGGAAATCAATGGCATTGGCACTACGTGATTGTTTCACGTTTCTATATGTGGAGTAGGCATTACCAGACATTTATAGATTTGTAAATAATGCTTATTATTGAATTCCCTTTAATTTTACAGCGTGTAATTGCTTTCTGCGTAAGGAGTAAAAACTTACGATTTTTCAAAGTCATGCAAACAAATTTGTATGAAAATATGGCAATTTTATACTAGTTTGACGTAAATTTAATCGAGCTTTCTATTTGAATTTTTATGCAATTGTTCATAAATACATTTATTTTACAATTTTGTTTCAATAAATTTCCTTAAATTTTTCGTATATATGTATGTATATAAATTTGTATTGTAATTTACTTTGAAAAATGTCTAAACTGAAATTTATGAAAATAGTATAAATAAAATTGCTTCGAACATATATTTATAACCGCATTTATGTTCGAATATATAAGATATATTTACTTATTTTATTCAAACTAATTTTCGTTCAATATTCATGGGGAAATCATAACAAAAGACGAGATTTATTCAGATTTTCGATCTTTTATAAACAACTTATACATACGAAGTCAACAAGAAATACCTTGCAGGAATTTTTTTTTTCAAATCAGCGATAAGATATTAGTGTGTTATAGCAGTTAAGTTACTTTTAAAATTGTAGAAATATTATCAACATATGTATGTATGTCGGTAATGCGAAGCACAACGAACAGTGTCTTATTATGGTGGATTTATTAAATTTTTCATTCATTTATAAGGTAAACGAAGTCAGTCATTATTATTTAGAATCATGAACTTGCAATGTGCCGCATACAGTTTTATTCGTTATAAATTCCTGTATTCCACGGTTTCACAATTTAATTTTGAAGTCGCAATTTGGGTTCCAAAATCGACTTATATACAAATCATGTGTGAAATTGATACACCATTCAAAGAAGCTAATCTAATTCTAACCCTCGAGCGCCTTTTCATTTGGTTAATTGTGTTCAATTTTTTTATAAACTTGGTAATCTTTTTTTTGGTTAAGTTAGGTTAGGTTTCACTGATGGCAGATGGAGGTTCATTATTAATACAAGTACGAGCTGAAATTTACGTCATGCAGGATGTCAACGCTTTTTGCGAAGTTTAATAGAGACTAGACATCTAATTCTCATATTTCATCCAGTCCCTTGAACTGCGAAGTTCTAAGATATCTAAGCCGTGCTTTAGATAAGAACGGGCATAAGCAGAGCATATTTTTCTAGGAGAAATATCAATTGTGGAAACGATATGTTAATGAAAAAATTTACCGAGCGTCATTTGCAAAATTTTTCTCTAATAGCTCGATGAGCGAGGAACGAAAAAATTTGTTTTGTTTTTTAAATTTTTTCGAACGGTAATCTGTCATCTTAATGCAATATTTTTGTAGAAAATTGTCTAGTAATTCACACAGTCTGCCATTATGGGGTTAAAATACCCCGGAAAATATGCAGCATTCATTGGAAATAAATTTCGATTCGGTTAGGGGTTATATATATAAATTGTTTAGTGTAATTCAAATTTAAAACTAAAAATTTAGTTTCAGTTAATTAATGACATAGGTAATTAGTACTAAAAAATTAAATGACTTAACTTTTGTGCTATACTTATTATTTGTTATCTAAAGTTCACCAAAAATTTAATTAGCCCTGATCGCTTTATTTTCCTCACTGGTTTCATATATGTATGTATTGTATATGTATATATATGTAGATAGTGGTATGCACATAAGTATGTACGTAAAAACTTTGCATGAATGAATATTCGCGCCCAAAACCAACAAAGCATATGAATGTACATGCATATATGCATATATGTATGTATTGTAGTATGCATATATACATATATCATTTATATATTATATATATTCTTATATACATATACATTCATACATATATATATATACATATATAAAGTTAGATACTCGTATAACTTTACAAAAACAGTGCCAGCCTTTGTTCTTAGCATTTGCTTTGCTTTTTGGCATTGCGTTGTGTTTTAATTTCGCTTTTAAGGCATTACATTTTCTATCACTTCACTTTCTTCGTCTTTTCAGTGCACTTTGCTGTTTAAGCAGGCACTTGCAAAACTTTCTCTTGCTTCTTGTTATTTAGCTCATTCATAATTTCACCGAGTGGATTTCGCTTTTTCGAACTTTTCACTTTTTTGGCAAAAGCTTGTAGACTTTAAATATATATTATATATGTATGAATATACAAAAATACATACAAATTAATGAAAGTACAAAACATACGTAATATTTTTGATATTTATCTATATACTACAATACTTGTATATACATACATATATATATATACTTTCGTTTGTGTATATGTGTGTTTTTTCTCGTTTTAATTATTTTCTTTCTATTTTTTGCTCTTTAAATCTTTAAATCATTTTAGTATTAATTAAAATGTCTCACATATATCCGGTGATTTTCTTTAATGGCGGTGTGTGCGCTACTCTTCCTGTCTTTGGCTTTTTGCTTTCCGCTGGATTCGAATAAATTCTTTACAAACAGAGGCGTTTCTGGTATTTACAGATTTAAGTCTGTATATGCGTATAAACATACGTATGTTTTGCACTTTTAAGTTGAATTAGTTTAACTGTATATACATATATAAATATAGCATATACACTTCTCATATATAATTTTGCGTTTATTATATAAAATGTGTGTATCCGCAAAAAATTTGTTATTACTATTTCACATTCCACAAATTGTTTATAACCAAAGTAATTTTAATTTTATGCACCACTGTAGATATATGTATAAACATATATATATAATAAATTTTTTTTTTTTGTATATACAAATATTAACATTTCAATAATTTCATTTCGTAAAATTTTCTCTAAGCTACATACAAATATGAGTATATGAGTCTATACACTTTTTTCACTTAAAAACAATAAACTTATTTGCAGCTCGTAACATTTTATACCCGTACCTCGAAATATTTAACCGTTCGCGCTAGTTCTGCTCCCACTAGTCTACACGAATATTCGCCTTTTAAATTTTCCACATTTTCCTCAATTAGCTACTCGCAAGCATTTGATCAAACCACAAAAAAACACATAAAATGCTCTCATCACACGCTCGTGGCTAAGTCACATCAATTTGTTTTCACGAGTACACAGCTTTTCAGCTTTATCAGTACTTGCGCCTATGTCCGAATTTTCGCCGTACACCCGTTTGTTCCTAATCGTCGTAGCGTTTTATCCAAACTGTCCGTTAGCATCGTTCATTGCACACGCTCTCGATCTGCACATCCATGCCGTGTCTACTAAGGCAATAAGGCAATAGCTTTCTTCCTGCGGTGGCGGAACGCCCTCAGACGACTCTACAGTACAACTCAATTGCTCAGATCAGTGGTATTTAGTGCTCACTACCGTTATACGCCTGCGCCTGCAAATCAGACCGGACGTAAGCCATCACATATGTATGGTACAAACATATGTGTACTATATGTATGTATATATATCAGAACATTGCTCTTGCACGCAGATGAAGATCTATATAAATATGCATATGAGTGTAATCGCTCACTCAACTGCAGATCGCACTCATCAATTACACTCAATTTTAATACTTTTATGTAGGGAAATTTCAGAAAATTAAAAGAAATATACTATCCCCCATTTCATCCATATAGCACATGTTGATGTACTTAAGAGTATACATATCTATAAATATGTATGTATCTGCACATATTAATACCCTGTAGGAAAGTATCAATTGGTCAGGTAAATATATAGTTCATGAACTAGCGTCATTTCGCTGGTTGCTGTTAATTCGTTATCGAACACTTACTTATAGAAAAATTTAAAGTAAATTTGGAAGAATAACTATCAATTAAAACAAGAAAAAACGTGAACATCGGCGCCCCGAAGCTATAATACCCGCCACAAATACAAAGATTCTTTAAAAGGACTGTGATCGGTTAGTTTTTTATTCGCCTTAGGCAATAACCTGTACCAAATTTCGTGATGATATTTCGCCAAACGAAAAAGTTTTCATATATAAACATACTTATGTATGTATGTACGAATAAAAACCGCTTCGTAATTGAGATAAAATTCATGTAAAATATTTTTAAAAACTTTTGAGCGTTAATTATATACATATGCCATACATGCATGACAAAATGTAGACTTTCAATGAAAGAAATTTTAATTTAGAGTGCTTCTGGAGTTTCTTCTTCAAAATTTTACCAACGATATTCTCTGAAACGTTGGCATGCATCTTTGTATGTGTCTCGCCAAATTTGCTGTATGTTTTCCTTTCATTTTAAACTTGCAATGTATTCACTCACTTGTATAGTAATTGTTGTCAAAATAAAAGCTTTTGTGTACTTGTATATAATCACTTTAAAAGTATGCCAACCTTCTGAGAACACAAACGCGATTATTTAAAATTACAGTGAAAAATAACATCTCATGGCGTTGCATTCAAGTAAACTTATGTAATAAAAGCGGTTTGATTCGTGTTTTAATTTAGCGTCAGTAAAAAGAGGTGGTTCGAAAATCGGTTGCTTCAAAACCGGCTTGCAGCCCTGTTTATAGGATCTTTCCTTTTGAGTGCTACAAATAAAATGCAAACTTAATATTCCCTGCTCAGAGTATAAAAAGCTGGATCCGAAGAGTAAACTCATAAATATGAAACCAAGACTCGAACTCATCGTCTATCGACCATTTATTAGATATACCGCTTACTCTTGGTGGACTATCGAACTTTCCGCTACCTTGTACTACTACGATACTTCAAAAGACAGCATTGTTAAATTCAATAGCTATCGGAGCTGTGTTCGTTTCACCAAACGCTGAATACTACTATTAAACAAAATATTACCAATTGTTCAAAGAAAAGTAAAGTGCTTGAAAAACTGCAAGATATCGTACAGAGAATTTACAAATCGAAAACCGATATAGAAAATAGTTCCCTATTTCTTATAGGGTTTTTAGTGCTGTGTACAAATTTCTGTTTTATTTCAGTTCAACAGTTTGCAGCCCTACTTCCCGCATCACTGTTAATTGGTTTTTTTTTTTGTACCTCTGGTGTCTTTTTTTATTTTCAAAGCCACAAAGCCATATGTTGCAGGCATGTTCTATTGAGTTATCAGTGTGTCGAACTGCCGATCTGCCCCGGTAAGCTACTCTATCTTGCTGTCTGTTCTTTGACAATTCGACTCTCTATTTTTGTTTGTAGGTAGAATATTTCGCATTCGCGGACCATTGACTGCACTCAGCGGCATTAGCATGAGTTTGCGTCGCTCGAAACGCTGCGAAAACAGTAGCATCAGCACCAGCATACATATAAACAAACATACATGCATATGTGGGCAGCAACAACAGTAGTAAATAAGATTAATAAAACAAGAACATTTACTAAAATAACAACACATTTACTATAGTTGGAAGAAACGTATATATGTATATATGTATGTAAATATAAAATTGTAGAGGTAGATATGTTCGTGTATATATGCATATGCTGACTTTTAGTGCCTCTTTAAGTACACCCCAACCCATTAGCTACCCAATACCGTTTGCTGCACTGTCAACAAATGACATACAAGGGCAAATATTGTTTTGAGTCGTCTACTACGGTACGAGTACGCGTACTAATTCAGTTCAGTAAATAAGTATGTATGTAACCGCTTTAACAAACATACATAAATACCTCTATTTACAAGCTAAATATGATCGTTTTTTACGGCAAGTAGTGCACTGAAAGGCAATTTCCATAAATTCGGCTCAGTAATAGTTCATTTACTCAAGGTTTGACTTTAAAGCAGGTCTATGAACTTTGCATGTCAATCATCGTGCATGAAATTGAGAGTACGATGCTCGGGAGATATGGCATTACTATGGGCGCTTCGTCAAGCCAAAATATTATGTAAAACATACACGTAAAAAATATCTCAGAACGGAAGGTTATAAACGCCTATCTGAAGAAAATATTATTTTGTGTATATGGCTGTTGATATATATGTATATACAAGTATATTCGAAGTTCTAGGTATATAAACCACTACTAAATGCTAGCAAGACAAGCGCCACACTAAATTGCATGATTTAGTAGGGAAAATTTCTTAGTAGATCTATTTGCCAAAAAAGTATTATCATGGTTGCTACGAATCCGATCCATCTTTAAGTATGCTTACTCTCATCTCTCATTTATTTTTGGCCATTGAACTACTTTCTCTCTAACACTTGCGGTTAATATTGTTTGAGTTATAACGATACAATATGTGTTGCTAAATTCGGGAATCAGTGGTTTTATGATGAGTATTAATAATTAAATGTCTAATAAAAAGTCATTTGAAATTAAAAAAAAAAAAACGCCAAATAATTTGAAAATTAAAAGCATAGAGGAGTTTAAGCGGTTAGTTCGATTTAGCAATTTGAGTTACTGCAATAGAAGGACAGAGAGTACGAGAGGAAGTCTGAGACAAAGCACAGATATATGTATATTAATAAAAAAAATCATAACTGTATATATTTTTAGAACACTAATAAAGCTGTTTTCTTTAAATTTTATTTTAACAGCTTCCATTTAGTAGACAAACACATTTGACATTGCTGCTTTTGACATTTGTGAAAAAAGGTTATATTTAAAGGAGTATACCAGACGCACAAATTCAACCGTGATGTGATACATATGTTGCACAGACGCTGTCATTTCAGTTTGAATCGGGTTGTTGTTGTGCGTGCAGACAGAAGATGCATTTGTACATATGCTTGTATATAGTATATATTGCATATATTATATATATATATATATATATACTTAAGCGTGCATTGGCACATACATACTTACATTTATATGAATATATACGTTAGGATGGAGCGAGAAAAAAATTTTTTTTTTTTTTGCTTAGCTTTAGAGTAAAATTTGCAGATTATAAAAAAAAGATAATTTTTGGCCCAATTACTTTTAAAGTAAATTTCGAGTTAAAATTTTTCTAGATGTTAAAATATTTTTTTTTTCCAAAAATTTTCTTTTTTATAATCTACACATTTTAACCTCAGGCTAAACACAAAAAAAAATGTTTTTCGCTCCACCTTAATATACAGCTGTGTTCACAAAAATAGCAGTGCGAGAAATGCATGAAGTAATGTTATTTTTTTTCAAGTTCCGTTACGATTATTCCAACGTCTACGCATTGTTGTTGTAGAATGGTATTTGTATAAGGAAGAAACGAAAAAATCCCGTTAGATTTGCGAGATTTAAGCAAATGAACAACTCTTTTTGCTAGAAGCACCAGTCTTTGGCTGTTCATTAAAATAGCAGTGCGTATCTTGATATGCCAAAAAAATTTTGTTAAGACGTTTAATTGATAAAAAGTAAGTGGTTTTGTGTTAGTGACTATTATTAACATTAGAAAACAGTAAAATAAATTTAGGGCAGGGGCAAACATTGTACTCCTGAAAAAAGAAATATTATAGTGCAACTAAGAAACCTGGGAAAAACATATAAAGACATCCAAGAAATATGTGGATGTTCTGCTAAAATGATTCATAATGCTTTAATCTTTAAAGAAATGCCCGAAAATCGTGGTATCCAACGTGAAACCACACCTCATGAGGACCGATCTATTGTGCGATATAGCAGGGCGCAGCCTTTTGCATCCTCCAGCAAGATAAAAAATGACTTAAGCTTGAATGTTAGTGGCGTTGCTATTCGGCGACGTTTTAAAGAACAAAATCTCAAAGCGTGCCATCCACGAAAAGTTCCACTGTTAGCCACCAGACATGTCAAAGCACGTTTGGAGTTCGCCAAAAGTCACCTTAATTGGCCCATTACAAAGTGGCGAAATATTTTATGGAGTGACGAAAGTAAAATTGTGTTATTTGGTGGAAAGGGCTCAGGACAATATGTCAGACGTCCACCTAACATAGAGTACGATCCTAGGTACACTTTGAAGACAGTTAAACACGGCGGATTTAGTATTATGGTATGGGCATGTTTTTCTTACAGTGGAGTGGGCCCTATATTCATGATTGATGGGATCATGGATCGATCTGTATATGTTAACATATTAGAAAATGTTATGTTTGCCAGGACTTGGTGGATTTTATGCCTCGCAGTTGCCAGGCCATAATAAAAATAATGGAGTAAGTACTAACCCAAGCAAACAAATTAAAATAGTTTTTTGGAGTTCAACAATGTTTTTTTCAACTAATTCCACTGTTTTCATTACTCACTGCTATTTTTATGAACAGCTGTAAACAGCACTTTTTTGTTTAAATTAATAATGTAAAAAATTAACAATATTTTGAATAATAAATTGATTTGTTTTTGTTTAAAATAATCACAAAGTTAAAACAAAATTAAATTTGTGAACATTCATTTACTTTTTGATATATAAAATTAAGTTTAAAGTTGCAGCTCATGAGCACTGCTATTTTTATGAACACAGCTGTACATATACATACATATGCATTTGACTTAACCCGCTTGTCGTTTGTTTGCCCTACCAAATACTTTCGCTTTTCAATTGTGAGTTGAAGAGGAGTGACGTTTACTTTCGACTTAGGCAATGGGATTTTTGCTCAAACCTACTTGAGAATAATGACGGTTAAATAGTAAAAACTTGTATAAACAAATTAAAAAAGAAAACGATTTGGTTCGAAAAGATTGGGTTATTGGTTAGCATCGCAAATGGTAGGTACCTAAAGAATATTTGATATTAGGGTATATTTAATCCAACATGTATTGAAAAATTGAAAAATTTATTTTTGGATTTCGGGTTATGTATGTATGTATATATTCATTGTTTATTTAATTTTTAAAATTTTATACACTAAATATTCCGACACAACCTAGCTACATACGTTCAAATATCATATATCAGCTTACATACAGAATATATTCTATATGGTCTACATTCGATATATAAAATTGCGTTAAGATTAGGTCGGTGAATGTTGTAATACCACCTTATATACAAAATAAACGGTGTCTCGCTTTTTTACTCATCTGCAGCTTCATATGTACATACTTATATCATCACCCTTACGCATCTTGATTATTTATTAGAGAGTTAAACTTTCTAAGCCAGTTTCAAGAATATCGTTATCAACGTAAATGATAGTGTCATTTCGGATTTCGACCACTTCATCCTTCTGCGAGATAATTTTTTTCATACATATATAATATAAAATGTTCTTTCATAGACATACTAAGTTAACTCGATTAGTGTGTAATATGAGTGGCCTAGATGAAATCCAATTTCTAATTATGATATTATTGCTATAATTTGTTACTGATTTAAAGTTTTCATATTAAATTACAACTAAGTTTTTTTTTTCTGAAGTTTATTAAATCACACATTATTAAATAAATTATTACTTACCTCTTTTGTTAAGAATTTCGGGTAATATTTGCATTATACTGTATTTCTCAAAAATGCACAGTATATCCATTAATTTATACACTCATATACATATGTATGTTAAGTTGTTCAATAACTTTTTTTTAAATGCTTAGCACAGCTTTTTTTATATTTTTCACCACTTCTTCAAGTTTAGCGTACTTTACGCATACACATACACATACTTATGTAGAAATCTTAAATGTTGTTGAAACTATCATTTATTAACTGTAATATTCGCTTTCGTTTGCTAACATCTTATTACCAGCAAATCGGAACTTTCAAAAATTGCGATCGTTGCAACACAACAACACTCCTGCTACGCGGCAAGAATCGTTCTACATATCGCCCCATTGAGCTGGCAATTGCGATTTCGAGAAAATGAGATTTTTTTCGTAATTTTTCAACTCAAATACGCGTATGCCGAATTCGGTGGAGCAGTAAAATTGAAATGGATTTGAGTGGAATCGGTGCGTCGTGCAACATTTAACGATGTTTATTTATAAAATTGTTTATTGTTGATGAGCACGCACGCCAATCTACATATTTATGTAAGTCCAATACATACATATATATGTTCATATAGCGGTGCAGGAGCGATGCGGCGGAGTGGTGGCAGGGCGCAAATACTAGCATGGCTGCTGCGGCATCCACTCAAACACTCAAATCGCGCAATGAAAATTTCAATTGATCAATATCTGGATACATACATATAGACTATATACGTACTTATGTTCGTTATATATGCCTTTAATACATATCACAATGTAAGGCAAAAAATCAGTAACGATAGTAAACATTGTTGTGAACAAAAACATCGACAATTAATGAAAAGGCAGCAAGCAAATCTTAATTGTAGCACGCGGCGAGTTTTTTGTGCCATTAGGGGCAAAAATCGTTTGGGTAGTGATCAAGGTAGTGTTGGTGTGATTTTCAAAATCGATATTTCCGTATTTCAATTCATTATGCGCTAAGGTTGGACAAAGTTTAGCGGTTATACGTATGAACATAAATATGTTAATATGAGGAAGTGTGTAATTTAAATGCATATTGAGATAAAAGACCAAAACACAGCAACAATATTTTGCAATTTTTATCGACTGATAAAGTATATGAAATATTTGTATTTAGGTACTTACATATATGTACATATATTTAATTTTTATTTATTTTCATTTTTTACTGAAGTTGATCATTTTGCCAACGACCTAAGCATTTGTCTATATATCTATACATATGTATATATTGATATAGGTATTATACATAAACTGTTGTTTCTGCTGTTCGCGCGTTCATAAGTAAATAACACTCTCGGAATTATATCAACCCTCCCGAAATTTTTAATTTTCCCTATTCATGTTTGTATGCACATATGTACATATGTGTGTATGCTTGTTGCTCTCTCTAATCACAGAAATTAACTATTGTTACAAACATTGATTCTGCAAATCAAGATTAATGCACATACATACATATGTATATGCGAGTATATATATACAACTGTATATTCTTATGGTGGCATGTGTCTGTATATCTCGCTATATGAGAGAGGCAGAGACAATTTCGGAAATACGGCGACTTTGTAGAGTATGAATTATCAGCGGCGTTGCGTTTGAGGTCTTTAGCAGAAAATTTAGTTTTTATGGGTGTCCATACTAGTGAAGTACTAGTAAATTATATTAAATGGGGTTTTGTAAAAGCTATACAGATATAGGTAGAAATTGCGGTTCAGCTGATATCGATTTTTAATGTAGTTATACTCAAAACGCCTCTCTAATTTTTATAAACATTCAAATCACATCTCAAACGTTTATTTGTTTCTACTTGAAATTTTTTTTCACTTAAGCCTATTTTTGCTATATAGAATAATAAGAGAAAACCTTCTTTCATTTGCGCTATTACTCGTTAATGTAATAACAGCGTTCAATCATAAGTCTCCACTACAGGCGTTTGCCTCATACGCACTCATAAGGTCATAATATGTTGAATGAATCAATGATTCTGTTGAGACTACTCTCCATGGCATTCAATAAATGTGGTGTTGCTGTGAACACAACCTAAGCAGATTCTACTCTGACAATTGTGATCGGCACTCGAAACGAAAAAAAAAATTTATAAAACAAAAATTGAGAGATCTAAAAATGTGTATTCTATACACAGAGCCTACAACTAATTTATAGCGACCTTGTAGGAAATCGTTATCGCTGTTCTGTGAGATCAAAATCTATATGAAGTATGGACTTAGAATGCAAACATCGATTTTCAAATTTATACTGTAATGAGGCGTTTGTCGCTTGATGGAAGTCTTGCAGAGATCCCAAATATAACTGAGTTTACTTATAGAGTGGAGTTTGGTGGTTAAACCCGAACTGATAGAAGTTTTTCTGCTACCTCACAAATATAAAATATGTATCTATCAAAATTTGTAAATAAACACGAATCGATTCCAAGAGAGGGTTTAGGAATTTTTACTCGAAATTTACTTTAAAACTGAGTGCGCCGCCTCTATATGGCTAAGCAAAAAAATAAAAAAAAAATTTTTTTTGTTCCACCCTAATATACATATTTTAAAGCTTGTGAAAATTATAGTAAATATATCAAATTAAGGGTAGCTTGATTGCGTGTCTTTGATAGAGTAAATAATAAAGCAGTATTAGAGCAGTTTAGTTTGACAAATTTATAAATAATTTATTTATCACAAACAATAGACACATTTCTTAAAACTATCTAATCAATAGCTCTGTATATTATACAAGAATTACATTTATAGTAACATTGCTTAGTGAATCATAAATAAAAGTATATGAGAATATGGTAGAATAATAACAAATCAGTTTTCTCTGATCTCAATGCTTATTGGCGGTTCGATTTGATAACTCAATGTAACTTTTGGCTGATGAACGATATCTTCAAATTTGAAAGTTGTCGAAAATTTTAAATTGCGTATCGCATGCAACAAAATGATACGTAATGAGATTTCAGCATAACGAAAGCCTGTCAAGCAATTAGTTAGTAAATGTGATAAAAAAAATTACGAAATAATTTCAACTTTTACCAATACAATTGCGTGCGCCCTTCGAGAATAGCATATAAGCACTTGGATGCCGTTTTGCTATGTTCTCTGGCAAAAAGTTATCCGGATTGAAGCGATTTGCGTTTGGACCCCAAATTTCCTTACGTCTATGTAATTCATAAATTGGTATAACCACTTGCATATTCTTCGGTAGTATTACGCCGGGACATAGTTCGGTATCATGTATAGCTTCACGTCCGATGTAGGGTATTGGTGGAGCCAAACGCAATGCATCCGCTATACACATATCCAAATATGGAAGTTTCTTCAGATCGTCATATTCTACGGCTGTAATTCCGTCCGGAAATACGGAGCGAATCTCTTGGAAAACACGTTCTTGTATTTCGGGGTGCATTGCCAGCGTCATCAGACAAGTGTATGCCGCACTAACCGAAGTCTCGTATGACTGCCGAAAATAATGTTTAATTTTATTAACAATTTTAGTGGCCTGTAAGCTATTTAAGCTTAATTATATACATATATAAATTCAGAACATGAAAAAAATCTAATTCAGCTCTGAAATCATATAAAAAATTTTTTTGAGTGCTATTAATAACCGATTATTTTCCAATTTATGTTAGAGTTGTATTTTTTACTGGCTTGTACAGTGTTGCACTGATAACTTCAAAGGATTTAGAGTCAGAATTCATATACAACTTTCAGATCTTTTAGCTAGCTGAATATAGCAGCGAATGCCAAATCGTGTGGCAATTTTTGAGGGGAGTTATAGCAACAGCTTGCAGCCGGTTTCGGATTTACACCAACGTTTTTTCGTAGCGATCTAGAGCCAAACACGCTTGCGATAATATTTTCGTTAGGAAAAAGATGAGAAAATGAGAAAATTATAGCAAAGATAGCGTATGGCACCAAAGTTCGAAAAATTTGTATGCATGAAAAGACCAAAAACTGTCCGCTTCAGTAGCTTTCTCTAAATAAGTCAATTATTAACAATAAAATCACAATATTTTGTGTTTCTAAATTTCGGAATAAAATAAATATACTTAAAATAAAAAGTAATAACATTACCGCCGCAATCATTGTGAAGCACTCGATTTCCACATCTTTTTCACTGAATATTCCCTGACGCATAGACTTTAGCGCTAAATCAATCATCATTTGCTTGTCCTCTTCGAAATGGTTTTTGGCCTCTCGTGAAAGGTTTTTTTTAATCAGCTGCAATAATTGATAAACATAGATTTATATACATATATATATATATAACGGGTGTTTTTTTTTGAAATATAGAACTTTAAGTTGGCATTACTGTTCAAAATGGCGACCGATTTAACAGCTGTCAAGTAATTTATTCACAGTTTGGTTTGGCAATTAATCATGAATAGACTCACGCCTGAACAACGCTTGCAAATAGTGCAATTTTATTTCGAAAATAATGGTTCTGTGCGGAATATAAACGTTTAACCATTTGGAAGACAATATTCGCCGTGTTATTGCCGATATACGGCCACAAATTTTGGAAAAAGTCATCGAAGATCGAAAACGTCCAGATTGGACTACATCCGAGCCAGCCGTGGCGGTCATATGCCAGAAATCATATTTAAAATGTAATGCCACAAGATTATCTTACGAATAAATAAAATTGTTGTTTTATTGCAATTTAAAGTTCTATACCTCTAAAAAAAACACCCTTTATATATATATGTATATTGAATGTATAAAACTTGTATCTGTAATTTTTTTTTTTACTTACAGATCGTACCAGGTCTCGTAGGTATTCACGATATCTTCTATATTGTGGAGTATTGGATAGAAAACCTAGGCCCACCGAACTGTATATGGAGTTCTTTGCCATGAGATCGATAATGCTTTAGTAGAGTTAAATGTTTATTTGAATTTATATTATTTTTATTTAACTGACTAGTTTTTTATAAACTTTTTGTAAATTAAGTATAAAGGCCGTTAAGACTTTACTTACACATTAAATGCTTGCACAATTTCCCTGTACGTCTCAGTACCTTCCTCCATCTTTATACCCATAATAGTTACTGTAATTTTATAAAAAGGGGTTGAACGAGTTCATTAAGTGCATGTTTCAGAAATATGTGGCCTTTTTTTTTTTTGGTTGGTAAACACCGAAAACAGCTTACAAACGCGAGTTTAAAATTCAAAATCTGTGAACATTTGTGTAATGTTCCACATAAACACAAGTAAAGGGAGGGAGGAGAGTTTAAGCCGAAGATGTTTCACTCGTTTTCTATGGTAAACACTAAATTAAATCGGTTTAAGAATTTATGCCTATTACGTTTGTTGAATATTCTCAACTTTTTGTTTCAGAAACTTTGAATTTACGTAAACCATTTTTTTTAATGTTAAAGTTAAAATCACAGTTTGCGGCGAACTAAATGAAATATTTTGCCATGGTAAAACGTTAAGTATGTTTTAATGGTAAACAGCAAAAGCCTTTAGAAACTATATGCTTTGCCAAATTGTTTAGCGATTTTTTAGTTGTCTTCAGCTGAAAAGTTTGTGGGGACCAAGTATAGATAAAAGTGGTTTAGAACTGAACGCCCTTTAATGATTCGGTATTATACAATATATGCAACCGAGAGAGAGTGGATCAGTGGTACGAGCACGTACATCCAATTTTGAGCGTTTTTAGGTATACTAAATTTATTGTAAAATAGTTATCTGTTTATACTTACAAAAACTCAATTGTAAACCACATTCTTTGATAATTGTAAAAATATCCTGTTCCCCTTGACCAGCTAGCTCTGCTAGCCTATTTTTCATATTAATTGCATTTTCATTGAAGTAAGAAAAGAACGCCATGATATTATTATGAGCGAGGAATGGTGTTATAGCCTTGCGGTTGGTTTTCCATTTTTTTGCTGCTCGTGTAATAAATAAAAAATAAAACTTAAAGAAAATTTACACCTGCAGAGGTTATGCCCCATTACCTGGACTTACGATGATACCATTTATTACACCATTATGAAAGTGCTTATACAAATCTGTGGCTTTGTTGAGGAATACAGGCGAGTTGGTGACATGCTTGATAACCTCAGGATCGACGGTAACGACAAACGGCGTATTGGCTATCCATATGCAGCCGGTTAATTTTTTAAAGGTATCGATGTTAAGACTAATATTATGGTACAATTCTGTAATTGTATTGTAATTAAATCACTATTTAGTTTCGCAGCCTCTTTGTAGTAACAACACTTACTATTCAAATCAAGAAACTGATAAGCTTGTCCAACAAAAGGAATGCCGTAAAGTGTGGGCAACTTTGAAGTTACATTGCGATAGTATTTCCGTGTTTGATACAAACGCCAACTCGCTGAGAGTATCAGAATGATTACCGTTATAATCAGCGTTTCTATACCAATTAACGCACTCATTTTCGCACTGAGCAGCTTAACACACCACGATTCGGCAGAATATATTAAATGGCACCGACTGAGTCAAAGGCGGAGAGCTGCACTAACTTTTATATGAATTTCATTTGTACTTTGTTCTCTATCATTTAATGTTAATGACTATGTGGTAAAATCAGATATAAAAACAGTTATTTACGCTCTTTTTTGTATGCTTATGAAATTTTCTTTGTAACAAAATATATAGATTTGTATGTGTGCATTTTTACAGCTATGCTTAAATATGGTTTTTAAAATTTTCAGAGGGGTTAGATCCCTATGATCACTTAGTGGTTTGGGTCAAAGTTCTATATTAATTTATAAACCCCAAAAATCATTCTATGTTGACTTAAATTAAAAAAAGCCAAGCTTCATTCGGCATAATAAAATTTTAAGACCCACATTGCAAAATAGCCGATTAGTCAGGTCGAATGTCAAACAAATTTGAAGAGTTCAGTTAATGCACCGTTATGAAGGGGAGAAATAATGGAGGCGTGTGCCTCTGACTTAAAAGTTAATACAAGTTAGTCAAATTAAATTCTCAAAACTGCTTCTTTGTTACGATAACTTAAATTTTTATTAGACAATTCACTTGAAATTTGCCATGAATATTTTTTAAATATTTCTCTATCGTATGAATCAATATAAACTGGGTAGAAATCGTGATGACAAGGAAGAGAAAATAAAAAAAATTTTGCGAATCTGCTTGTGAGATAATTGAAAAGGGTATATGAAGTTTGTCACAACGATCGGAAGCAAGTGCTTGTATGGAAAACTTTTTTATCTGACGAGATATCTTTACCAAATTTATTATTCTTAAATTTTTTAATTCTTAATATTTTATATTTTCTTCAACAATTGTATTCATAGTTTTACTGTCTTCCTTACTATAAGTTATTAGCATAATATCTCATTCGGAGATGTGAAATCATAATAAGGTGCTGAATAAACTTGACAGTGACATCGTACAATTGAATTGATTGGACATTTGCAATAGTTTGCACGTAAACTCAATTAAACGAAATTTTCAAATACGCAAAAAGACTACGTTTTTTTTTTTTTTTCGTCTCTCTTTGTAACATTATTCTTCGTTGTCGAATTGTCAAATTTCGTCGTACTTTGCATTCGGTTCGAAACTGTGCTACGTATGTGAATTTCGGTTTTGAACGAGTATAATCGTATGTGTAGAAAATAGTACACAAAGCAAAGACCGCAATAAAGAGGTGTTAAGAAGAGTACACAAAGCGTGCGAATCGGATTTTGAACTGTGTGAAACTCGGCGAATAGACGTTACTCTATAATGGCGCCGAAATCTAGAATGAAGAAGGCACATGACGTATCTGACCTTGATCTTGATGAAGTATCAGCTCTAAAAATGGAAAATGAACTACTAAGACAGTTAAATTCAGAGCTACAGGAACGAAATAAATTACTGAACAACCTGGTGGAAAAAGGGAATTTATTAAGTGAAGTAAGAATTTCATGTGCTGACATTGTTAAAGGACATACTAATATTAATGAAAGAGTACCTAAAATACTAGTTAAAGCTAAAAATAATGATAATGGTGAAACTCTGAAAAAAGTAAAAATGAAATTAACAAGTGATCTAACAATACCAATCAACAACGTTCGTAAAAATAATGATGGGCTTGTTTCTGTTAAATGTAAAAACACAAATGATATACAAAGAGTTAAATCGGTCTTAAGTGAAAAACTGGGTGGTGATTATTGTGTTGACTTGGAGCATCTTAATTTTCCTAAAATAAAGGTTACTAATGTTGAAAATGAATTAAACAAAGAAGAATTATGCGAGGATATATGTAATAGGAATTTCCCAGATATTGATGGCGCTTTCAACATCATCGCGGACTACAGGAACAAAGCTGGAATCCGGTCATTGATACTCGAGCTAACCTCTGAGTCATACCTACATCTAAAAAATTGCGGATTTAAATTATACATTGGTTATCAATGCTGCCAAGTATATGTTTTTTTAAATTTTAATTTATGCTATAAATGCGGAAGATCGAACCACAAACACAAAAATTGTAAGAATGAGGTTAAATGTCTTAGGTGTGCGGGTGATCATTTAACTAACACCTGTAAAAGTACTAACATAAACTGTCTCAACTGCGTGTACTATAATGAAAAATATCGGAAAAACCGCCCAACTAATCATTGTGCTATGGATACATGTTGTGAATATATCTCTAATAGTCTTGGCTAGATGAGTTACGCCTCCCCCCTCCATACGCGCCACTGAGCGCCAACACACCACATTAACACGATCCACAAGAAGACTCAACCCACTAACACACACAAACACACACCACAGACATCACACCACGCAGACATCACACCACACAGACCACCCACACACACACATCCCATCCTACCACAACTCTACACTACCCAACACTCAAAAGGGAGTAACAATAGACCAGAAGGTCTCTTTCTCATCAGCGAATCGCCCCGATCAGACGTCCGCAAGTTTCCGCCCGTGTTCCCCTTTCATACGCCGTATCATTTTACGTTAAAGTGCAAAAAGGTGAGTGTATAAGTGAATCGAGTAAATAAGTCTAAATAAAATAATAAACAATACTGATTATCCGGTGAAATCATCGATACCAAAGTCACTAGGTAAAATTGGAAATTGGTCTTTACAAACAACCGATGATTGATAAAGAAGAAATGCAGATTGAAGAAATTTTTACTGATTTATATAATTTTAATAATACGTTACCTAATAACAATTTCTTTATGGTTCACCTAAATGGTAAAAGTCTAAATACAAATTTCAACAAATTAGAGTTATTTATTGAACATCTTGTAATAAAACCAGATATTATTGTCTGTACGGAGACTTGGCTCCTTTCTTGTTATACTTTTTTTGAAATGAATGATTATAATGTAATATTTTCTATAATAGTAGCAATAATAATAGAGCTGATGGCGTTGTATTATATATTAAAAAATCTTTAAAACATGATGTTAAGATAGATGTAATTGATAAAGTGAAAATTATCTCAACGATAATAAAATTGAAGGGTAATAAAAATCTTAAAATATCGAGTATATATAGATGTCAAGACATTCCAAAAGAAAACTTTATAGATGCAATAACTAAATTTTTAGACGTAAACAAGCATGGGAACAATCATTTTCTAGTTGGGGATTTTAACATCAATTTATTAAATTCTGATATTGCTACAAATGAATATTTAAATAATCTATTAGATCGTGGCTATATACCATATTTCAATGGTGTAACCAGACCTAATGACTTAGGGGGTACTTGTATCGATAACATTTTTGTTAAATCAAATATTGAGAAAATCAGATCCTTTACTTATGCCAATGTTTTTACAGATCATTATCCTATTTTTGTTACTCTTGATTTGTTCCCTATAAAGTCTTTGCTTAAAGAAACCTATTTCAATAACCACAATCTTATAAAAGTAAATAGTAGTTTTCATGATTGGTCTCATATGCTCGATATAAAAGATCCAGAAGTTTTTTTTAAGCTTCTGATTGAAAATATAAAGAATATTATTGATGTTTCAAGATCCAAAGGAAATAAAACTAAAAACAATAACAAACCGAGGAGTAAATGGATAACTAAAGGTATTATAAAATCATGTAAAACAAAATAAACTTTATACAGACTATGGAACTTGGATAGAAATAATGTAAAATTAAAATCTGAATATAACGCGTACTGTAAAATACTAAAGAGAGTTATAACACTTGCCAAAAATAACTACGAAAGTAAATATGTTAAAAAAATATCCAAAGATAGTAAAAAAATGTGGCAATACGTTAACACGAAAATAGGTAAAAAAAACTAAAGCAACGCCTGTACTGGATTATCTAGTATGTAATGATGAAATCATATCCGATAACCAGGTTATTGCTGATGAGCTTATAACTTTCTTTAGTAATATTGGAGTTGAATTAGCTAATAAAATTGATAAACTATCGATTGACATAAATAAAAATGTTAAGCATAACCCTAATAGTATGTTTCTTACTCCAACTAGTTATACTGAAATTGAAAAAATCATAAAAGAAATGAAAGATAAATCAGGTGGTGTAGACGGCATTAGCAGTAAGATTTTAAAAATTATAGCCAAAGATATTAGTATACCTTTAGAGCATATTTTCAATATATGTATAAATAAAGCTATTTGGCCCTCTGTACTTCAAACAGCTGATATTATATTATACCTATACATAAATCCGGGGACAAACACTTGGCAAATAACTATCGGCCTATTTCTTTAATCTCAAACCTTGCTAAAATATTCGAGAAAATAATATATATCCGATTTTATGATTTCTGTAGGAAAAATAGTTTAATTTCTCCGAATCAATTTGGATTTATGAAAAGTAGAGGTACCAGTGATGCTTTAACTCTTACATCAGATTTTATTTATAAAAATATTGATAACAATTTACCATCTGTCCTAGTCTTTCTAGACCTAGCAAAAGCGTTCGATACTGTAAATCACGAAATACTACTAGATAAGATCTGGAGGCTTGGGATTAGAGGAATACCTCACCAATTACTTAAAAACTACCTTTACGAAAGGGAACAATGTGTAAAAATTAATAATTGTATTAGTACAACAACTAATGTAAAAGTTGGTGTGCCACAAGGCACAATATTGGGTCCTTTGCTGTTTATCATGTACTTATATAAATGGCATCTTCAATACTCTACCGGAAATGGCTCTCGTAGCCTATGCTGATGATACTGCAGTGCTTTGCTCTGGTAAAAATTGGAATGAAGTTAAAACACGACTGAATAGATGGTTGGAGATACTAAATAAATGGCTACGAAGTAATCAATTATCTCTTAACATAGACAAGTCAACATACATCACTTTTGGCAGTTATTGTGATAGTATACCTGTCAATTATATACTAAATATAAACAACAGAGAACTCACAAGAGTAGATCACAGCAAATATCTGGGTCTGTACTTTGATACACATATGAAATGGAATTTTCATGTGAACGAGCTGGCCAAAAAAGTCAGATACTTGGCTTTCCTCTTTTTCAAATTGAGTAAATGGGTTGACATAAAAATCTTAAAAACTATATACTATGGACTTTTCGAAAGTGTAATCAATTACGGAATAATTGCTTGGGGTGGAGCCTACAAAAATGCTCTGCAGCCTATAACAAATATGCAAAACCGTTTATTAAAGTTCTTTGAAAACAATTATGAAACTAATTTGCCACTTGACATCAAGAAAACTTTCATTGTTAAGGCTATAATACAATACTATGAAAAGTGTAAATCAAAATATCTTACTAAACAAGTACAAACTAGAGCTTACACTCTAACATTGCCAAAAATTAAAAAGTCAATTAGCATTAAAAATGCATATTATATAGCAATTAAGTACTTTAACATGCTTCCTAATAAATTGAAGATTCTAACATGTAATAAAAAATCTCTTAACAAAAATCTAAAATCCTGGATAAATAACTTATCAATATAGTAAATTTTAGCTGTATATTAAGTGATTAATTTTTGCTCTTACTTGGTATAATTTATAATTTATCTGTATAACTTTGTCACGCAATATTTAGTGTAATATACTATTATCCATGCTAGAATATTTATAATATTAGGAAATAAGCTGTTAAATATATTGTATTTGTAATGCCCTGGATCTATGCACAGATGTTAAACATCTCTATAGACTTGTACCAGATGAAATAAATAAATAAAATATACACATATACATACATATATATATTTGTTTTGTGTTTTTCTCCAACATTTATTTTATTTGTCATCTGATTATAACAAATATAATATATAGTATGATTTCTCATCTTAATTTTTGTACATATACTTAATATCTGAAGGGCGAATTTAGGACATAATAACTTTTAAGTCGTTGAGCTTCTTGATGATCGTCTAATAAGTACTGCTGTACATAGCCACTGAGATTATAGTTAAGGTATTTATGGGTTAGCCTACTTGCTTCTTCTTTTACATAGCGTATTTGAAGATCCCTATATACATATACCATATTTATAGCACAAACAGTCACCGACATTCCTTCCTTCCGTACTTACCGCGCGTATCAAACCAAATTTGTCAAAAGTTAGTGTCAACGCAGAAATCAGTTGTTCTCTTTTGTTTTAATTTCACCAATGTTGCCATTGTTCTATTCGTATACACAATTTTTGACACATTTAGTTTTTAAGTTATAATTTTTCATAACATAAAAGCTCTAAATTAAAATCCAACTACTAAAAATATAATAATTTGACTATTTATATATAAAAGTATTCGATTGTGATTTTGAGTTATTTTAAGAATATTTCAAATATATTTAAGTTCATTTTTTAATTACTACAAAATATCGAGATTGGCAACCCTGTGTTGCAAGAGATTGCTCTCTCACTTTCCGCTCACTCGTTTCTACGGAAAAATCCAATTTTCTCGGATATCCTACCGTACGGTCTGTTGAAGCGGACGGTAGAAGCGGTGGTGACTGTTCATTTACATTGCGCTCTTATACTTGTAAGATAGGTCGGCTGATTCGGTCCACGGTTTTGCGTCGGTGACTGTTTGTGTCATTAGAATTATTCTTAGTGCTTTGACTAGTAGTGTTGTAGAATTTCCCAGAGCTGTAAACCATATGTTCACACTCGTTATACTCTCGCAACATGTTGCTACAAATTACAATAGTTTTGTTCACCTAACGGTTGTTGGTATCATTTAAAACTAATCAAGACATATATGGATTTATAAATGTGTATATATAAATGATCAGGATGATGAGGCGAGTTAAATTCCGGGTGAATGCCGGTGTGTCTGTCCGTGCAAGCGATAACTTGAGTAAAATTTCATTCGAGATATCTGATGAATCTTGGTACACATGTTCCTTGACACCAAGTCGCGTTAATATTGCAGATAAGCGAAATTGGACCATTGTCATGCCCACAAAACGCCATTAATCGAAAACCAGTCAATTGCCATAACTAAATTCCACAATAAAACACGAGGCTGTTATTTAGTACTGCGAATTGCATTAGGAAGGGGCATCTACGGTTGATACAATTTTCAAAAAATGTGCATACCTCCGCCCCTTAATTAGTTTAATGTACACATCTCCTAAGCCATTTAAGGTATAATAATCAAATTCGCTCTGGGTAAATCTTTTTGGCATCCCTATCCACCCTGTGCATTTGGATTATTTCGCGGCCACTTCTTATATAACGGTTTTGTTAAAAAGAAAGGGCTTTATAGGACGGTGTCTGTGTGAACCGATGTCAATTAAATTCGGTAGGTAATATTATTCTAATATTTCTACATTTCAGCGCGAAAATCGGCGAAACCTTACACCCCATATAGCTAATATAAAGATTTTCGAAGTTACGCATGACTTTATACCGCATATATCGGTCATTATGTGAGGTATCTTAATGTAATAGAAAGCACGTTTTTTTCTATTAACAATGCATCGTTGTGCATAGGGTATTTCCCCAGCTATGATCCTGGCAAGTTGAAAGAGTATGAAATATTTGGTTACACCCGAATTTAGTCATTCCTTACTTGTTTCATTTATATTTCTTAGTGCATCAGTTATATTATTATTATTTTTGTTATTATGACACAAATTAGTGATGAAAGTGTTTTTTTCTCTATCAACTTATAATTGCGCTAAAAGTAAAATATAAAACAGCAAGGGGATTAAAATTTTAATATTTATATTTTTTGAAAAAAAAAATAATTTTTTGTTTTATTATATAAGTATCTAATTAAAGTATTATTAAAACAAAAAGGAATTTCGTTGTTTTATTAAAAGGAAAATATAAACACAAATATTTCATGTAGAAAAAATAAGTATCCATAATTTCGCGGTGCTAGTGGGCCCAATTTTTGCTGCATGGAGTTGACAAGCTTCAAATATTCATTTTGAAAAAAAATGTTTCCAATTGCTTTACGTGCAGCCCTATAGCCAATTTGTCTATGTACTTGTAGATCTCATCTTGTCATTCGCTGTGATAGATAGTAACCGTCTACCAAAATGTAAATTCCTATGCGATGGTTTTTTGAGCTTGTAAAGATTTTTATCGTTAACTCTTCTGTTACGATTATTATTAAATGTACGATTTGTTACTTGCCGAATGCCACAAATGACCTGGAGTGTAGATTTTATACCTTCCTCCTCGAAATCAGCCTGCCAATTGTGTAGCATATGCCTCAGCCTGATCAGCAAGTTCTGGTAAATATCGAAGACATCAACCGTCGTCTGTGCAGCTGTATTAGCGTTTTTAAAGCTCAATGACGGTTATTAGGGTAAACTCTAAGAATTTTTCGATTATCCCAATCAAGTACAGCGGTATCAATCTTATCTTTGACATACGAGCGCTGCCTGAAGACCAGACTATTGGTGGAGTTTGTAGAGATTGTTATATATCTTTTTAATACATTTGTGAAGGATGTCTTGGTTGAAATGTATTTCCATCCTTAGTAGTAGTCAGCTTTGAAAGACATTTTAAATATTTTGGAAAAGTCTACCTGAATTACAGTTAATGGATCAAATCAAAAAAATATATATTCAGGGTCCCTTTACTTTCTTCAAATGATTAAGGCATAACACCGTTACAGAACAGTTAACAATAAAAAACTTTAAGATCGCAAAAAATGAGCATCGTATAGAAATTTACATTTTGGTAGACGGTTACTATCAATCCCAGCGAATCCCAAGCTGAGATCTACATAGACAAATTGGATATAGGGCTCTGCTATTGAATTGCTGATTTTGTTTAGAAATATATTATATAGTCAATAGAAATGGTTTGGGGAAAACACGACCCCATTCGAGAAGGATAAACTGCTCTTACAACTGCAATACAACGCACAGGATAACACCTCCTTGATTCCAACGGCGAAACCAGTCGAATTAGGCTAAAAACTGTTCCTTACACAGCACTTTACCAACTGAGCAGAATTTTGATACACAAAATTTCCTAATATAATCAAATACTATTTATTTGCTCACGGAACAAGTTATATTCCATTGAAAATTACACATTTATATATTATATATTACGAATGTATCATATTGTGCAATTTAATTTGCTCTGACCTCTACACTTATTGGCGGTTCAATTTTAAAAGTCAATGTAACTTTTGGCACAAGAACGATATCTTCATATTTAAAGGTCGTGGAAAATTTCAATCTCCGTACCGCATGGATCAATATGATACGTAACGAGATATCAGCGTAATGAAAGCCTGTCAAACAGGTTAGTTAATAAATAACAATAAATTCAAAACTACGAAATAATTTATATTCTTACCTATACAGTTGCGTGGGCCTTTCGAGAAAGGCATATAAGAATATGGATGACGCTTTGCAATGTTCTCGGGCAAAAAATTATCCGGATTGAAACGATTTGCGTCCGGACCCCAAATTTTCTGACGCCTATGCAATGCATAAATGGCTATAAGAACTTGCGTGCCTTTGGG